GATGCGGCGCTTCCGACGCGACATTGCGTTTATTTCGCAAATTTTAACGCCGGCGCCGACGGTATTGTACTAGTGGAGAGTGATTGAAAATAATTTCGTACGATTGAGCAGGAGCTTTCTTGTGAACTGCGTTAGTTTTCAAAATTTCTAAATACTTTATTTCTCACACAAAATTTTGAAAGGAACTGATCAGCGAATCGTAATAGAAAAGTGACTTAGCAATCGTTGATCTTTAGACTCTATTCAGACGTAAAGAAGCATAAGTATGAACACAAATTGGGAAGAGTTTTTGCTGTAGTAATTTTTGTCATTGTAAAGTGGTTGCGAGTAGTTGTTGCCAATAAGAAAACTTATCACTAAACATCTTCATATTCGCTATTCGTCAATATATTCAAAGTTGCCTTAGCGGTAGGTATAGCAAATATCTCATAAGCGATGAGTAATCAGATTATCAGCAAGAATTCCAATCCGATACCTTTTTAAAAGGTTTAACCCACCAATTTTAGCTCAAATAGTAGACAGGGCTCTCCACTATCGTATCCAAAACGGTTAATAGCTGTACAACCGGCATCTTCGAATATTTTCAACGGAAATTCGCACCAGGCGTGTTGAGGCTGTAAGTTTTGATATATAAGGAGCTAAAGACACACGAAAAAAGGTACAGTCATAAATCGGCTACTTGGTCTGTAACAACAACAAAATATATTCCGTGGCTTTGCATACTGTCTATTTCGCTTACAAGAAGAAAAGTAAAGAATTAAAAACTCACTTTTTCTAATGGACTACACTCTTTTGTGAAGTTCTTTCGCGACACCTGCTCCTTCTTGTAACCTAAATAAGAATCGAAGGTCAAGATAAAAGCTTATATTCCTATTAAAAAATTGTTTGAGACGATACTATGAATTAAACTTTTAGCAGTGATATCTAGGAAGTTTACTTACGCTCAAGATAGTCACGGATCGTTTCAACATAGCGGCTTTTTGCCACGTTGTCTCTGCTGAGATTCAATATATTATTATCGACACCGGTGCCAAAACTTGGTATCATATGCAATCCTAGAAAGAGTAATTGTGGAGGAACAGGGGAGGAGTCGATAAAATGGATAATTAGTAATATTGACCTTGTTTATCCTGATGCTCTTGTGCATCGATATCATGCAACACTCGATTGAATCCAAGCAAC